AGAAGGGAAGAGTCCCATCAATCTCACTGCAGTTCAGTTGCAGTCCTAATCCAATTTAAAAGATATATAAACAAAATAAAACTTACAACCTAATATTCCCCCACAGCGCCCCTATAATTTGTTTCTCTGCTCAAAATGAAAACAGCTCAAAACAAAAACAAAGTGGTTTTACAGCCACTTTCAGCTCAACCCTCATGCTGGCAGTTCTGGACCAATGAACAATGCCTTGATATGGCAAAAGTCTGGAGAACAGGCAGGAGGCAAATGCACAGGAGTAAGCTTCATGATAAAGGTGAAATAACATACTTCTCAAAAATTTAAGCAAATATTGCCATGTATTTGCCAGAGCTCTCAGCAGCGCCCCTTCTCCTCCTTGAACCACAGTGTTCTCTTGCATTTTATACGCTGGTTAGGAAGACGAATGTGAAAGCTCCCCAAGCGCATGTGCTGGTGAGCCACCCGGCCGCAGCGGGCACCCCTAGAGCGACTCACCCCCTGACAAGCCATTCCCCCCACCACTGCTGCATGCCCCTTCCTCTCTGCTGTTAAACAGCACAGCAAAATTCCCAGCAACCCTAAGGGACCCGAGCAGCTACCTCCTTGCAGAAGCCATGGTCTTGTACAAGCCCGGAGGGACCTTGTATTTGTGGGCTGAGAGGGGACAGGAGTTGAGGCAGGGACAACCGCCCACAAAGGGGTCCAAGATGTGGCCTCGACCTTGGGAGCTAGCGTGTTTGGTTTTCTGTTGGGGTCGGGTTTTTTTGTTTTGTTTTGTTTTTTCCTCTTTCACAGACTCAAAGAATCACAGAATAGTAGGGGTTGGAAGGGACCTCGAGGGGACAGGAGTTGAGGCAGGGACAACCGCCCACAAAGGGGTCCAAGATGTGGCCTCGACCTTGGGAGCTAGCGTGTTTGGTTTTCTGTTGGGGTCGGGTTTTTTTGTTTTGTTTTGTTTTTTCCTCTTTCATGAGCTACAGAAACGAATTAGACTGGCACATGCGAGCTGAGGTGCCCGGCCAGAGCCAGGCCAGCCGGGTCAGGCTGCTCCTTGCTCCTGCCCGCCATCACTCCCACCCCACGGGGATGCAGGCGAAGCCCCTGCGAGGAGGAGGGAAAGGCAGAGCTTCACGTGCCTGGTGCTCCAGGGAGATGATCTGCAAGCCTGCACTTGGAGCATCTTCAAAGTATTTTCTTTGTGAATACATGCAAATCAGCCTCTGGGGATCACCTCTTTCTGGGCTGGTTCTTCACCGACTTGGATTCCTCCCAGGTGTGGAACAGGGGCTGAGAAAGGCGCTTCCCAAAGGAGTAGCATCAGTTTGCTCTTACACAGCAGGCAAGGCTGTTTCAGCCTAACCCAAGCTACCCCTTCTCTTCTCCCCTTTTCCTAATAGGTCAGGAAGGTTTTGGGGGTTTATTTTTTACACTCCTGAGTCCTTTCATCCCATGGCACAAGTGCTCTTGGAAGTTCTAGGGCAGCGTGGGATTTGGCCAGTGAATGGGCACATCTCTGCTCTGCCAGGAGCTACAGCAAGGGTAAACCTTGCCTCACGCCTGCCCTTCTGCTGCCTTCGAAGCTCCAAGCCCAAACCTGCCGTGGATTTGATTTTTTTCCTCTCTATGAACTGGGCAGTGACCTGCTTTGCAGGTGTTGCTTGTGCAGCTGTCAGGAAGCCCTGCACCACACTCCAAGACTGGGCAACACCTCCCAGCACAGCCGCTCTTGCCAGCCTCCCACAGGAACGTCTCCCTCAAAACTAACACACAGAAATAAGACTGGCAGATTTTCCTTCCAGGCCAAGCAAAACAGCAAGCTTTTCTCTTATCATTTGTAAAACAGCATCTGATACAACACCTGATGGATGCCAAAGTTTTAGGAAAAAACACTAAGTATCAATAAGTAGGATGTATTATTTTGCTGCAAAAAAGACAATAAAAGGAAAAAAGTGGCAACAGTACGCAGAGCCCCAGCACTTCATTCACAGCACACACAGCGTCGGGGTGCTCTCTACAACCCCCTGCAGATCAGAGACAATGGGTGTCACACACATCCCCCGTGTCCGTACCTGTTCCTCCGCTCTCTACATCCTTTCCACGTTTAGGTCTTGATACCTTTAAGTGACTTCTGTCTGGGGCAGAAGATGAGGAGAGGACAAGCAGAGGGTGCAGAACTCCAGTGCTGGACACAGCCTCTACCTACTCTGCTGAAACCACACGCATGGAAAAGCTGGGTTCAGTTTCTGGATCCAGTCTCTTCACACCGACACTTCAGTGCCCCGAGATGGTGGGATCACATCTTCTGTAATGAGGAGCTTTCCTAGGATTCACACACATCTTCCATGAACCCATCTCCTGCGAGCGAGCAGAGTGACCTGGGAACTCAATGCTAGTAGCTGGCTTTGTACAAGCTAAGTCCTGCTGACCTCTCTCTTAACAGAGCATTATAGCCCTCTTTCACACAGTAATTAACTCCACCTGCTCTTTGTTATTCACATCATAATTTGCAGGAGATTGGTGTCTATCTGCCAAGACACCAAGCTCCCAGGCAAACCGCCCATGGTTGTCACAGCCGGAGCACAAAGCAGCCGTGCACCCCACAGCTCCATGGGGGACACATCCTGCGAGGCACCAAGGCGGCTGGGCAGGCCAGGCAGACAAACGCGGCAAGGCTAGAACACAGATGTGAATTCACTTATTCCCTGATCTCTGTGGTGTAATAAAAACAACTAGAGATGACTTCAAGCTGTCAGAAACAAGTCAAACATGCCCCCATGACCTAAACAGGACTGTCACAAATAAGGGAGGGCTGGAACTACCAGACAAGTGTTTCATTTGCTAAATAAAAATTTAATTAGTTAATACCTTGTATGGGTTTTGTTTTAAGATGTCCTGAGGTTTTTCCCCCTGGCTTAAGTCACTAAGGTCTGCACCTGAGCCGCAGGGGTTTTCCACCGGAGCAAGCGCACGGCTGGCTGTGAACCACTGCTCCTTCCCAGGGCTGTGCCGCAGAGGCCCTGCCCTGCTCTGGCCAGGGACACATAAAACACGCCAAGACGACCAGCTACTGAGCCACACTTCACAAAATGACATGCTTATTTCTTAAACCAGCTCAAAATCCGGGCTCTAACACACTTGGTTGTTGTGCAGCTCTGCTGTCTATTGAGTGTTTAGATCTGGGAAACATGGCTTTGATTAAAAATGGGCAACCCACCAACTGCAGAGAAATTTCACATAACTGCTTGGCAAAAAAAGAGTTGCCACAGTCATGAGCCATTCGTCAAAACTTCTGCCCTGTCCCCTGAGGAATTACCCGTTTCCCCCATCTACACCTGAGAGTTGGGATGCTGAAGGTTAACAGCATAGCAACTGCCACAACACGGAAAGCAGCATCAAGAGATCCAACATTTGACCAGTTACAGCTCTTTCCACTGCCTGGTATAAACACTTGGTTTGTCTCAGCCGACGATGGGCTCCCATACCTTTTGCTTCTTCTACCTTTATCGTTTTTATTAAAAAAAAAAACCCAACCAAAAATCAACATTCTCTTTGAACTAACTTAGTTATGGAGAGGTGGAAGGCAGGGTGACAGGTGAGACAGTCCGTGGAGACCACGGGTCTAATCCTCTGCGCTTCATGCCAATGACAAGAACACACGGGGCAGCAGACAGCAGCACGTGGCCAGGTTTGTGCTCCGAGCAGAGAAAACTACGGGGAAGTGGCAAGTCCCTTGCTGGGAACCATTCCCCCAGTGATTATTTTCCAAACATTCAACAGGTGGCCCAAACAAATGGATTTAGTAGGAATTTCACATCAGGAACAAAGACATAACACAAACCCAAGATCCTATTCTAATGCTACTGAAGGCAATGTCCTATCTGCAAGGCCAAGAAAACAGAATCAAGTCACAGCAGCAGAGACCTCAGCTGTCTCAATTCAGTCAGGTCAGCACTTCATTTATGGCAGTAAAGTCCAATCATACTTCTCCCCACCTTGTTAGAAACCCCTTTCTAACAAAGGTTTCCAACCAACCACGCCCTGCATGCACGCTGCAGTTTTGCACCTGCAAAGCCCCCACACAAAAATGAACCTCAAATTGCTCACATTTAAATCTGGGACATCCCCAAACCGTTGCCTGGCCTCGTGTTTGAAGTCCAACGACAGACCCCGCTGACCCTGCCAGAGGCCCACGTTCAGGCTCCCCAAAACCCCACAGTGGGACTGCCGGCACAGAGGCAGCAGCGAGGCAGATGGAGAAAGCGCAGCAGAACCACCCAGCTTCCAGCCTGGGAGCTTCGCTGGTGGGACCCCAGCTCCCTCCACTGCAAACGCTTGGGGACCAGCCTGTGGCACACGAGGAAGGTTTATGCAACGACCGCCACAACAAAAGGGTATTTCCCATGCCTGGGAGAGGCCACGGGGTCTCCACGGACCACAGGAAACATGATCCAAGTGAGCTGGAGCATCCGAATATGCACAACTGTCAAACTGCATTTAGGAATGGCTTTTTGTTTCTCTTAACTTTAAAATTTTCTAATTTTTTCAATTGGCCACATTAAAAGGGAGAAAACATCTTGTTTTCACTTTCCAGAAGTTCTGTGGTGTCGCAAATGAAACAGTTCACTAATTAAATAAATGTTTGGATGGCCAGGAAAACATCTGAGAGCCCCTAGCAGTTCCTCCACAATAGCTATTTGCTTTTCCACAAAAAACTATAAACATATTCTGAACTGAAACGAGCCGTGTTCAGCCAAATTCTCAAAAAACCCAATGGTATATGGCCAGACACGACCTTTCGTAACCTACTAAATGCCTCTTCCTTGTCCATTTGATCCCCTCCCTGGCTATTTCATGACTATGTGTGGTATTAACATTCTTCGTGTTTGCACACTGCCTTCCCTCCACTTCTCCCAGTGTTCACACACACACGCACGCACCGGCCCTCCCAGCAAGCTATGTGCATTTCCGTGCTGCTGCCTGCAACTGAAGGCTTTAGAACTCACCATCTCCCCCAAATCTAGCCTTCAGTGCCCGTGTTGTTACTGCAACCCCATCACACCCCTCTTCACAGTCATCTGACTTCTCACCCTCGGCACTTGGAGGAACCCAGATCTCTGTTAGGTACCTCAGCTCCCAAAGGCTCACCACAGGGGGAACCCCACGTGTGCCAGCATCGCGCCCCTCAGCAGAGCCCACGTAGCCCAGCACCAACGGCCAGCACCAACAGCATCCGCCCAGCACACCCCTTCTTCCACGCCACGCAGCAGCCCCCTGCTGCTCCCCCTCCTCTCGGCAGCGGGGAGGGTCGGTGCTGGAAGGCCCCCTCGGCTGGCGGCAGGCCGCACTGGGCGAGACGATGGCCGAGACGTGCTTGTCAGCACACATGGACCACTGCAGCCCCAGCAATATGGGAACACAGCGGTTTAAACCCAAATGCCTACGGGTTTTTGTGCAAAACCAGCCAAGAAGAACTCCTCCAGCACCTCCAGTTCGGAAACAGGTGCCACTAGCAATAAATCCTTGCCCCTCACTGAATCCCCCTGCGTAAGGTCTTCCACGTTTTATATGCACGGTAGTTCTCTGCTGAGCATTAAACGAGCGTTTGTGCTCTGGGGTGCTGGGGTTTTTTCCTTAATGAGTCATAGGCCTTTTCTTAAAAGTTAGCTGGAACACATAAATGTGACATTCGAGATTTAATAAAACTGCTCCAAAAACAAGGAACGAAGTTTCAGACAATGTGAAATACTCCAGCTGGAAGAGATATACGACTTCCTTGGCCATTTTCTTGCGCTCCTCTGTCTCACAGCACAGTAACAAACAAGGCTATGCTGACAGCAAGTTAAAAGAACTCAATCAGGTTAATAGAAAGAGATAACACACAACAGAAATGTTTGCTCTAATGTAGAAAAAAGGGACAAAATCCACTTCCAGAGACAGCACCCACACAGGCACGGTGAAAAATCACATAAAAACCCGGTCAAACACCAACATTGATTGGTCAACCACTAGCACATCTGCTGATTTTGTTAAGAGCTGAAGGCCGGTCCTGCTGCCAAGCACGCCGGCAGGAATCCTGCTGCCAGCCTCGGGAGCCGTCACGCCCCTGGAGCATCGCCAAGGGACGCCACATCACAGCCCCGGGTACCTCCGTCCTGCCAGGACTTGAACCTCTCGGGCAGCTCAGCACAGCCCTCCAAAACAAGCCTTTTCAAGCTCATAAAACCTCGCAGACAACGTGCACATTCCTGCTTTTCTTCCTTGTTGCTGCTTCGGTTTTCCTTTGTATCACACACCTCCGGCCCTGTCAGAGAGGAAGCACTCTGTCCAGGATGGGCATAAAAATCAAACACCACATTATTCTCTACAAGACACCTAGTTTCTCCATCCACAGAATAAGGAATTATTTTGGATACAACTCCTGCCGACAGCAGAATCGCTCTGCTTTGGCAGGCTGCGAGATGACGTACGGACTTTGAGACACCCTGGGAGCAGCTGTACCTCCTCCACCTGGTTTACTTTCTTTCCACTGACGAACAACCCCTTTAAACATCTGAAAGTTACTTTGCCAGATTTTTGTTTTCCCTTCTTTTTTTATAATCATTTTAGTATTTCACAAATTCTCTTGCTTTGAGAAGGCTTTCTAAACATCCAATAACCACACGGCTGTAACAGAGATAGTTACATCCTAATTTATTAACCACGGATGTTAAGGATTTCAGCCTAGACTGGTATCTTCTCTGCTGCCACCAAGCCATCAACGGGAACACATGAAGTTGTACCGTTTACACACTTCACATGTAAAAATTACACAACTTCAGGGCAATTTTCCACTAAGAAGCACCAACTTCAACCACGTAACTGCAGTTACCTGTTCCTTCGCATCAGGGTCAGGTTTCTACTCTGCAAAACACACCGGCCACAGAATCCATCCAACTGTTTACTCCCAATTCACACGCCACCATGCGTGAACTTCTAGGGCACGATGTAACATCAAACCGGGATGTTTGCACACATCAATCTTTGCGGAGGATCAGGCGCAGAGGCTAGGTGAGCAGCTGCCAGTACAAGTTCAACTCTGCCAGAGGAACAATTTTTCACTTTGAATCTTGCTTAGGATGTCTCCCTGACCCCCGAAGAGGGGATACCCAATTGGGGCTTTTTTGGGGACAGGGTGTGTTTAAGAGTCTGATGTTACTTCTGGCAATTTGAGAGCCTCTCACCTGAGGAACGCAACACAGACCTGGCATAGAGCTTGTGACAGAGCCCTAAAACTGTGCAGACCTAATGAACCGCCCAGCGTCTCATGCAGCGGCCCCGTGGCTCTGTGATCACCAGGGGCAGAGCACACTCCAAACCACAGCAAACGGCAACACGGGCTCCACTCAACCCTTGCAAACCAGTATCCTTTCCACAAGGACACAGATGCTTTGAAACAGGTGAAAAGAAACTTCCTTCTCCGCAGGCATTTTGCATGCAAGCGATCCCGTTTACCTCAGACCCACCGAGCTGGGTGGCTCGTCCTGTCCCTTCCCTCCCCTCGGCATGCTGCTGCATCACCTCGCTGCTCAGAAGCGACCAGGTACGACGTTTGCAGGGGCACGCACATGGGTGCATTTCCCAAACCATAAGGCAGCAGGAAAGGGTTAACAATTAAACCAGGAGTTACTATGCCACAGCAGTGCATGTGCCCATGCCAACTCTGTCTTATACATCCAACCCTCTGTATCGGAAGCCTCACCTGTGGCAGCCCTCATAAAAAACGTGGCGGTTCTTTGGAAGTTACCATCCCCCTCTGCACACAGCACTTTTAAAACAACGCAGAGAGAACCCAAGAGTAAAAGCACAAACAATGAAAACAAGCAAAAAACATTCACCATCAAATCACACCCCTGCTCACAGTCGAGTTTCCCACAAGTGCAGGGAAGAAAGCAGTTGTCCCCACCCTAACACATGCTTCTGTGCAAGCTGTATTCGCCCAAATCTCCATTTACGTTAACTGTACGTTACGTGCATCTGGTACCTGACAAACACACTTCTACTCCACATCTCTCCCCTCCTGCTCATGCACACGACACGGTTTATTGCTGCCCAGCTTCAGGGAGACTCACGAGCCTGTGCATAGCTAGCAGGGACTGCAAGAAGTCATCTAGCACCACTCCCACATCCTTAATAGGACATTTCATACCACAGAAAAAAAAAAAAAAGGACTTTTTTCCAGCACTGGTGACTTGTATTATCACGGTTATTTTTCACATCCTCTTTGTTGTCTTGAATTCTTTCTACATTCTCTCCCCCACCTTCCTACTCCTTCCTCCTTTACGACAATCCTCCAGCTGCAAGCTTTCCCTGTCACTATTTACTGTGATTTTCTGGACTCATCCAGCCCATCACTGACTCTCGTCCCCTCTCCTCTCCCCTCCCGCATGCGGGCGCAGGCAGCACCGCTGCTCGCTCTCCCCTGCACTGCCTGCTGTCGCCGTGCAGGACCCGTGACGGGAGGGCAGGCTCCTCACTCTCACCCACCCCAGCATCTCCCACCGCTGCTCTTCTTGCACCTTCCCCACCCACCACACGCCTCCCTGGCCTGACCCCAGCTCGGAGGCTTTCTTGCATTTCAGCTAAAAAAGCCTGACTGCTCTCAAATCGGTTTCAGCAACTGGTTTTCCAGCTGTAATTGGGAGAATGGCAAAGTCAAACTCTGAAGTACACGACCTGTTTGAACACTTCAGGAGACCACGCCACAGAAGTTTATTTCTATTTAGATATTTGCCTGTTAAAAGCTCAAACCTGCTGGTAAAGAAATGCCCTTTCACAGGACAGCCCCGACCGCAAAAGCTGACGGATCTCAGCTGCTTATCAAAGCTGGGTGGATTTCTAGGCCCAGGCAAAGAGAAATATAAAGTAATTGCCAGACAAGAAATCTTTGCTTATTTCCAAATGCAGTATGATGTATCAACAATTACCTCTATTTTGACGGAAATAAGAAAGTTCTAATAATTCTCCAAGAAAGCTTCAGGAAATCCTAAGACAGAAAACAACACTTTATCAAATATCTCAGGTGTTCTGGTCACCAACGGCAAGCGGACCTAAATTTAACTCAGATTTTCAAATTTCTTCTCTAAGAAATGCGGCTTCTATGGACTTACCACTGTTCTGTGCCTTCATTTTGATCTCACTTGTACACACAGCCTTCTGTCACATCAACCTGCACACACAGAAGAAACACGAACACCCAGCTCTGAACTCGTGGGCACACTGCAAGGCCCAGAAGCCAATCCTGCAATGCCAGCAGGATTTCTCAATGCAAAGAAACGGATTTGCACGGATGACTAGTGGTGTCCCTCAGGGGTCAGTACTGGGCCCAGTCTTGTTTAACTTCTTCATCAACGACCTGGATGAAGAGTTAGAATGTACCCTCAGCAAGTTTGCTGATGACACCAAACTGGGAGGTGTGGTAGATACACCAGAAGGCTGTGCTGCCATTCAGCGTGACCTGGATAGGCTGGAAAGCTGGGCAGAGAGGAACCTGATGAGGTTCAACAAGGGCAAGTGCAGGGTCCTGCACCTGGGGAGGAACAACCTCATGCACCAGTACAGGCTTGGGGTGGACCTGCTGGAGAGCAGAGAGGGACCTGGGTGTCCTGGTGGACGACAGGTTAACCATGAGCCAGCAGTGTGCCCTGGCTGCCAAGAAAGCCAATGGGATCCTGGGACGCATCAAGAAGAGTGTGGCCAGCAGGACAAGGGAGGTTCTCCTTCCCCTCTACACTGCCCTAGTGAGGCCTCAGCTGGAGTACTGTGTCCAGTTCTGGGCTCCCCAGTTCAAGAAGGATGAAGAGCTACTGGAGAGAGTCCAGCGGAGGGCTACAAGGATGGTGAGGGGACTGGAGCATCTCCACTACGAGGAGAGGTTGAGGGAACTGGGCTTGTTCAGCCTGAAGAAGAGAAGGCTGCGAGGGGACCTTATAAATGCCTACAAATATCTGAAGGGTGGGTGTCAGGAGGATGGGGCCAAGCTCTTTTCAGTGGTGCCCAGTGACAGGACAAGGGGCAATGGGCACAAACTGAGGCACAGGAAGTTCCGTCTGAACATGAGGAAGAACTTCTTCCCTCTGAGGGTGACGGAGCACTGGAACAGGCTGCCCAGGGAGGTTGTGGAGTCTCCTTCTCTGGAGATATTCAAGACCCGCCTGGACAAGATCCTGTGCAGCCTACTGTAGGTGACCCTGCTTCGGCAGGGGGGTTGGACTAGATGACCCACAGAGGTCCCTTCCAACCCCTACTATTCTGTGATTCTGTGATTCTGTGACTATGCACATGAAGGGCAGAAAGGGCCCGGATGGATCTAGGGATCTACTTCTTCCCTTTACCTACCTATGGGGCCA